AAGAGTGACAAAGACTGTATTAACTAACAAAGCCTAAAATATTTATTATCTGCCCTTTACAAAAAGAGTTTTGCTGAGCCTTGTTCTAAAACCCCAGAGCATTGTATGCACAAGCCACTTGGGATTAATCTGGGGGTGCTGTGGGACAGGTCATACTATTGGCATACACTCACAGCCCTTTAAATGTAACCACTCCACGTTTAAATAATAGGATTTGCATATTTCCTTCCAGATGTGCAGGAACATGCATGCATTTGCAGCCATACTGCATAACATGCATTATTTAACTATTGTGTTTTCATTTCAGAGTTCATGAATTTACTCTTCTTAAACATGAAAGTCATGAATAATAATTGTTTGTGTAATATGCAGAGCCTAACACAATACAAAGAATGGACAGGAGGTGTTCAATAAGAAAGTGTTTATATCTGTTCAGGTGTATTTGTGTCCATGGCATCTTTAAACATCAAAGATGATGTAGGTTTATCAATCAGAGATTGCAAATGCATAGCTATGGGTTACACACATTTTTTGGTCCACAAAATGTTGCTATTTTAGCTACTGTTAGCATTTAAGATGATAACTTCCTACATAAATAATATATATTCACATGTAGATAATCCACAAAGCTGTGTCTGTAGATGTCTCTATACATCCAAATCAATTTTAATAGAGATACACATGAACAATAATCGAATCACAAAGCATATAAACACCAGGGATGTGTGGCTATGGGGTTAACGGTTAGCCACTTCAGGCATTCCAAGGATGGCATTTACTCCAAATAACACACGGTTGCACATGGGAGAAAATAAACCGTCTGCTCAAATAGATGCTGCCCACATTTTTCAGCACGAAGATGCCCCCACTGCATCCTGCAGTGGTATGCACTGGGTCATAAGGAAGACATTCCGAACGTACCATTGAATTCTTCACACTCTGCAGCAAACGCTCGTGCTGCTCAGCTATCGCCAAGGCAGCAGAGTGGACCTTCTGATAGATGGCCTCCCCATCTCGTGTTTGAAAGATAAACAGCCCTTCACCAGTCTCACACATCCTGTGGAAACAAAAACAACAACCTTCTGAAAATCCAGCTCCTGGAAGGTCAATGCACTAAGCGGCTAAACTATTCTTCGTGGGGCCATGGCCACCTTTTTTTTAAAAAAATGAGACCAGATGTCTTGTTCCTGTTTGGTAAGAATGTTCCCTTGTGCAAAGTGCCCAATTAATTGTTCTGCATATGATCAGGGAAGCAGTCACTCTAGACTAACATAGTACTGAATGC